ACTTGCATTTTATGTAGAATATGTTCTTATGATACTGGATTGAGCGCCACATGGGGTCGTTGGGCATGAGGACAACAAAAAGCCCTTTATGACGATCACGTTAGGCGTGGGGAGGTGCACGCTAGGTGTGAAAGCTATAGAATGTTATTGACATTGTTGACATCGGGTGTAAGCTTGGTCACGTTGAGTGCAAGAGCTCTAGAGATTCCTTGTGTGAAATTTTTCCTGGTGGAGGAATAGTCATGTCAGATGTGATTCTTCCAGAGGTTTGTAACCTCAAACGCATTGGGCATAGGGCAAGCCTTGTCGAGCACTACCCTGTGCCTACAACTGAATCATGTAGAAATCATGTACTAGAAGTAACCTAGATTGACGAAATTGAAATAAATGATTTAGATGAGAGTTATTTGCCTAATAATAAGCATTGAGAACATATGAAATGTTAATGTGAGTTACGTATGATAAGTATGGGTGATTATATGAACAAGCCTAAGTATAACTTAGCAATGATGAGAATTGTGAAATGTGAAGCTGTGTGAATGTGAAATTGTGACCATGCATAAGAGTCTATATGTCATCCACCATTTGCATAAAAGTATTTTTGTGATGTGATATGATGTGAAATATGCTGCCAAGGAAGGTCTCCCTTGTGTAAAAGCTTGGAGATTCAATGACCTTGGGAATAATTAGTGTTAGGAGCCTAGGTCTTGCCACTTTTATGCATGGTGTGAAACTTGGCCAACATAGCTATCCCGATGTGCCATTGGTGTATTTTTCTTAGTGTAGAGTGTTGTGATGGCTTGACCCGACATGAACTCATAGGCTACTTAGCCTTTAAGCAATGATAAAGTATTTTACTAGCATCATATGTATATAGTTACGAGAGTCTTGTCGTTGTATGAGCACAACATACCTCTTGTGTTTGAATTGTGATATTATTATATGATGACATGTGTAGTGATATAATGTGATTGAGTGATTATTGTTCCCATTAACATATTAATATAAATGAAATATTTATTGTTGAGTTATATATATGTTTATTCTATGTTATTGTATGTGTGTGGCTACCCAACCATTTTCTATATTGGTAGTCAGAGTGAGATGTTTCTTACTCCATTTTTCTTTTATGTCTTGTTTTGGTATGCTTATGCATGTGATTTTAATCATGGAGGAATTTGAATTTTTGATAGGATCACTATAATAAGATGTGACTTGGAAGCTTTAGATAAGGACTAATATCTATCTTATTGCATTAGGATTTTTAGTTTCTTTTCTTAGAAAACATTTATGCATTAATTAATATTTCTTATAATTTCTTTAGTTTTAGTCTTGTTATCTTTGGGGTTTTGAATGTTGATGGAAGAGCATGGGCTAAAGGCCCAACCACTAGAGCTATGGCCAGGAGGTTACTTGAAGATTTGACTGCTTTAGAGCTTAGTGGGCCCAATGGGCTTGGTGGGCCTAGGGTGCTTCTCACTTGGGCTTTGATTGATTGAACACCATGATTAATTGTATTTTCTTAGTATAGGAATTTACTTTGATGTTGGTCTTGTATTTTGACCATAGATTAGGGTTTAGGTGTCTTGGGCTTAATTTTGGGCTTCTTGGGCTTTGGGCTTTTGATACCCAATATTGGGCTCATTCTTCTTCTTATATTTTTTCCTATTCATTGTATTCATTTTTTGATACCCAATATTAGGCTCATTCTTCTTCTTATATTTTTTCCTATTCATTGTATTCATTAGACCAATGTATTTCGGTCAATAGCATAGGATTATATGAAGTATACATTAATAGGAGAAATAGGTTTCATTTAAGTATCATTTAGAAGTAATTTGATTTGAATTTGAGTCACATGGATGGCATGGAGTGGATCCGGCCATGTGAGCTTCAAATTCACTCCAAATCACTCCTAAATGACACCTAAATGAAGGTAGCAACCGGATTAAGCTTGTAGGATGCCAAAGTTTGAATTTCAAATTCAAATTTGAAATTCAAACTTGGCGCCAACTTTGCTAGTCTAAGTTGCCGCCAATCTTAACCTAGTTTCCCTCCTATATATGTAACACTTCCCTCCATTGTAAAACACTTTTGAATATATGAGATTTCTGAATACATTTCAGCCATCTTTCAAGAGTCACCGAATTCCAAGAGAAAACCATAGAGAGTGCCTTCAAAAATCCTTTAGGAAAACCTAGTTTCCTTATCTTTGAAGTGAGCAATCCCTTGAGTTTTGAGCTTGGATACTTCCCTCTAAGGCTTTGGCCTTCCATCCGAGAGTTCTCCTTCTCCTAAGGTGTTGATACAATCGGTTTATCTCCATTGAAGTTGATCCGAGCTTAGGAGGAGCTTTGGAGGAGTCACAAATCTTCACTTCTCCTACTCTTTCTATCAAATGTGGTACCTTTTAAACTTAGTTTTCAATTATTAAATGAAGTATTTTTCATACTATTATTTTATGATATTAAATTTATGCATGAGGGGTAGGGGTGTCATAAGTTATAGTTAGCAACTAAACAAACTCACATCTTACACCTCTGCCCTTATTCTTATTCCTCTTAAAAGGTGCCAACTACTTCCATGAGATTTATTGCTTCTGTAAAAGGTACCTACCACTTCCATAGAAAAAACCAAAAGTTGTTATATTTAAAGAATCATGTCTGGTTTTTTGATTAATTATGAGAGAAAAATCACTTTCCTTATTAATTTTGTAAGTCATTTCAAACATTGAAAGACTCTATCCAAACTCAAGAAGGATTTCACCCAACAACCAAAAGTCTATCAATCAAAATGTGCCGCCAAAACTATAAATCAAAGGAAATGTTTAAAAAGATAGTAATTCATGGCAATTTGGTTTTAAAAGTGCACTAGCAATAAAATCTAATAAAATCCACAACATCACGCAAATTATCAACTTGGAAGAAAGAAATTAAATGAAATTGAAATTAAAAACAAGTGCAAATTAAAAAATAAGAGGCAAATTGGTGGTTGTTCAAAATTAAAATTAAAATAAAGACACGAACATGGAACATCCACTTGTTAGCACTTACTACTCTAACTCCCTCGTTCTATATAAAACCTTCCCCTATTTCAAAAATAGGATTCAATCAAAGATCCAAAAGAAAAACAACCTCTATAGGAATGAATGAACTCACTAAAATCTTCTAAAATGTGAACAACAATATAACAAAACCAATGAAAATAGAGAAATATGGATGCGATTCAATTGAATGAATGATTGAAAACTTACCTTTAAAGGCATCTAATAAATGAATGCAAGTGGGTGTAAATAGAAATCAATGAATGTGAGGAATACAAAGAAGTCAAACTATGGTTAGAGAGAATCCTTTAACTAATTTTTTTTTAATGAAATATATGTTGTATTTAGATGAGAGATATTTTTTTTATTAAAATAAATATTTTTATTAAAAGAAATATGCATGTGTTAAGTGTTAAAACTAACATGATAACACGAGTAAAGTTGTTACTTCTAAAAAGTGACACGAAACTTGACCTTGCATCAATAAAGGAAAAAGACAATTATAAGATTGCGGCGCTTTAAAACCCCCAATAAATGTTGCTTGTAATGGTTACCTTAATTGCTAGAAATATATTATTTTCTAGTGATGTTTTGAGACTGATAATAAATGCGTGTTTTTTTTGTATTAATTATTGTATGTAACATACATTACACTGAATTGAACTAGGATTTTTGACAAGGTATGTGTTATGAATCTAGGAGTTACCTTAATTAATAGGATTAGGACCTTAAGGGTGAGCTTTGTTTGGCTCACATTGATCTCATATAATTGGATTATCCTTACAAGATTTTGAATCCTTAACGAGCTGATGGTGGATATCATCTAGTTTAGAGTGGTAGGGTCAAACACTATGGTGAAGTGTCACCCTATCGCATACTCCTAAGTTATTCTATGTGTTATTGAGATTTTGAACTTAGTGCCACATGTATAAGTGTACTAGACTATAGAAGAAAACATTGCATAACATGATGTATAATGTTATTTTGTGAATGATTATAGTTGTATATGGTAATTACTTATATGTTGTGTTGTATGTTCTCCCCAACTTTTGCGTCACCACAAGAGCATGAATGAGACATATCTCACTCCCTTATCTATTTTTTTATTTATTTGTGTTTAAGTTGAATGTCATTTGTAGGTGAGGATAAATTTGAGGCTAATGCTAGAGGAAAGGTTTAGGGCTAAGTTTGCTTTGGAAATTTTGGGTATGATGCTCAAATAGGACATGACATCAAAACTTGGATTTTTTTGTTATGTTATTCTTAGATATTCTTGTTATATTTCAATCTTTTGATTTTTAAAATATTTTTATATCCCTTGGAGAGACAAAATTTTATTATTTATTTTCCTTCTCTTTTATTAAAAGTTTTTTCAGTTTAGATTTTGATTATTTATCATAAATCTAAACATAATTATTATGATTAATAACATTTATTTATCACAAATTTTAGTTTTATATATTTAAAAAGATTATTTATCACTAGTGAACAAAAAAACACTACATGCCTTCATAGTGTTTTTCTTTAAATACATACATGTTAGTAAAAATAGTGTGTAATTATCAACATTTTCAAAAATAAAACTTCAATACAAAAATATTTTCTATTTCTTATTAATTAATGTCATATGATCCACACAATCTTTACGTATAATTAAAATCATAAAAAATAATATATACACTAAAACAAAAAAATCCGTATATACAAAATTACTTCTAAAAAAAATAAAACCATGTATGTATGTATGCACATACTAAGTTATCGGTTAGTTAAACAATATCATGATTCTATCATATTTTTTTTAAGAAGATAAAATCCTTAAAAAATATTTTTTAAGAATATCTTGCACATGATGATTCTAATATATATGATTTAATAATAGTAGTCGTTTTGAGGCCAAAGCAAGTGTGAAAAAACGACAGTTAGTTCCCTTTAAAATCCCACTAACTCCTTTGCCAACTCACACTTACTAGGCTTTCGCTTGGGTTCTCTGCAATCTCTCTCTCTCTCTCACACTCATCACTCACTCACTCACTCACTTTGGGATCGAAAGGCAAAAGCATTATTATTCCCGTGAGCGTGAGTGACAGTAACAACATAACATCCCTTTCTCGTTTCTCTTTCCGTTAAAATGGAAAACCACATCTACGCCTCCTCCTACAGCCCCTCCACCAACTACAGATTCCTCGACCCCGACGCCGCCATGTTCCTCTCCCACCACCGCCCCGACTCCGCCGCCCTCCGCTTCCCCTCCGCCGCCCTCGACGCCGACATTGCTCCGCCCGGCGTCACCTCCCGAATCGCCTCCTCGGCCGCCGCCGCCGCCTCCCTCCTCTCCTCCTGGCCCCCCGCCGAACTTAAACGCTCCTCCGACGGTTAGTTTCTTTTTTGCATTTTGACCCCTTTTCTTTTTTTTTTATCTTTTTTGCTCCGTGGTCCCCCGTCTTTTATTTTCTGCAATCTATGAATTTGGGGCACAACTTATAACTGCGTGTTTTGGCTAGGTTGTTCTTGATCACATAACCAAGGGTTTGTTTCTTTGAGTTGAACCAAACAGGGACTATTTACTAAGCGGTTCGGTTTAGGTTGTTTGTTTTTGTTTACTTGAATCAAAGCTGAAGTAATAGAGATTTAACCGGTGCCCTTATTAATATGTGAATTCTTAGGTTGTAAGTGCTTGTTCGGGTAGGTTGTTTTTAAGGAATAGTTTGTTTGTTTTTTGTCTCATGAAAACTAGGGTTTGTTTCTCTTAGTTGAACCAAACAGGGACTAAGCAAATGGGTTTAGGTTATTTAGTTTTTGTTCGTTTAAATTAATAATGAAGTAAACCAGATTTAATTTAACTAGTGGTGCGTGTAGTTCTTGAAGAGTACATGTTTGTGGTGCCGAGTAATTGATGATTATGTTTGAGATGGAATGCTGGGTAGTGGTGAGGATGAGGGTGAGGATGTGATGCACATCATTGTATCGTGGTGCCTGTGGAGTGTGTATTGGTTATTGCATTGTTAGTATTTTGCTCCTTTTTCTATTTTGTGTTTAAGCAATTAATTAGGGTTCCTGCCATCAGAGTATACTAGTTGGATTTAATTGTGTATGGTTATGAATGACTTTGGTGGCTGGCACAGGCTTAGGTATGGATTTGGGTTTACCGAATCGTGGTTGAGGCATATTAATGGCTGGTGTATCGAATGAGCAGAGATATGCGTAGGATAGATGATGTGATGATTGAATGCATGCTACGTGATATGAACAACGTCGATTGTAGTAGCTAAAGAGAGAGAAAAAATGTGCAAGGGTTGGGTTTTTTGTTTGAGTATGTGACTTATCACTTACTGACAAGGCGAGGTTGAACTTTTTTGACTTAAAATGGTGCAGAGTGTTACTACTTTACGTATTTTCTGGAATATGTTGCGTTATGTGAGTGATATATTTTTACGTTATTTTCAATAAATGTATACTTATAGTTATAGCTTTTGTTCAATCTAAATGAACTTTAGTCATCTTATATAAAGTATATTCTTTATAGTTACTAACGTATGCTTTTTTGTTGAAAATTATTTTCTTAGTCAAACTTATATAGTAACATTATACATTTGCTTTGGTTTTCTTGTATATACTCGTCTATTATGTACTATAGCTCTGTACCATCCAACCATTTTGGGTACACTTGGGCAAAATGAAGCTTGGTATTCTACAAACTCACTGGCCAAGCGCCCTAGATATGAAAGTGCTTCCAATGTGACTATATATCCTCAGAGGCCAGGAGAGAAGGATTGTGCCCACTATATGCTCACAAGAACCTGTAAGTTTGGAGATAGCTGCAAGTTTGACCATCCTATTTGGGTTCCTGAGGGTGGAATCCCGGATTGGAAAGAGGTGACTGTTTGCTACTATTATTACTATTATTAGTTTTTATGCCTATGAAAATTATATTGTATTCTATAGTAAATTTACTATTGATAATTGTAAAGTAACATGTATTCTTACGATCCTATATTTATAGAAAATTATAGAGTTAAACATATATGAATATATAGTGTATTATTTACCAGTTTAACCAATTCATTTTTTTTACAGTTTATATTAGTTTCATTTGTAGTAAAAAATAACCTCTATTTCTATGTATGTCAGTTTACAGCCCGGTATAGAAATATTTATTAATTATAATAAAATAACACTCGCAAAAATATGTCTAGTACTATACTTCTTGTATTACAAAATACAAACTTATATTAAAGATTAATGACTAATTATAATACCTTAACACTTTTTCCACAAGCTGGAGCATGTAAATCATATGCACAAAACTTGTTATAAATTTTACTTGAGGAATGAGATACCCAGTAATGATGTGTTTCTTAGTCATTAAGCTATCAAAGCTAGTAGAGACAAGAGATACATTTTGAAATGTTCTACTTTTGAATTTCAAATAAAATAGCAATATAACACTTTATGTTTGGTCGTCTCATTATAAACTGAGTTGGATGCTTTGTGTAAGGTGGTTTGGTGGTCACATATCAGTTGCATCTGTTTTACATCCCTAATTTCACGTGGAGCATGTACAAACTCACTGACCATGTTCACAGGAAAGGAAATATCTTGTTCAACTGTAAGATAATTTAAATTTCAATACTTCCCAGGATTTGGTAGTGTCTCCCCCTTATTTGTGATTAGTGGGATTGTCGGAGTGTCCACCAATGAGCAACTCAAAATGTGCTTCTTTCCTGACTTACTTCCCAAGATTTATAGCTTATACTTTCTTTAGGGACACCCGTATGCAGGAAGGGAGAAAATAAGAGTTGGGTTGAGAACTAGTCCCTCGACCATGTGGGGTCGGTGTAAGGGGGAAAAAGGAGTGGGATATTCTGTTAGGATATCAGTATAAGAGTTAGGATTAGAGAAGGGAAAGAAACGTGAGTTAGGTTAACTTTTGGGAAGGGATTACAACCCTCAAATGTTTACATAATCTTTATTTTTTCTACGCTCTATATCCTTGGTCCCCAGAGGGTAAGTGATATTGGAAAATCGGTATCTGCCTTGGTCTGAGCTGATAATCCTGTAATCAGTGATGGTGAAGAAGGCTCTTTCTAGTTCTAAATATAATAAAGCATATTCCAATTTATGGGTATGTATGAATTGGTATTCGAGCTTCTGATTTGGGAGCTGCAGTGTGTTATTTCACTTATTTGAAGTCTGGTGAATTAATATACATGTCTGCATTAACTGTGTAACTGTATTAGAATGAAATTTTACTATGCTGTCAATCAACTTTGTTTTACTAGTATCCAGGATCCCTTGAATTTTAGCATAGGTGTGGGAAAGATTGTGTATTTAAAGCCCACATGGACTTTCTGTTTTGTATGCTAAGATAATTCTTGTTCCAGTTATTTCATGTTGTGAGCTAAATATCTTACCATTCATTTCTATTTTGTTTCTGCTGGAATGAGTTTTGCTCACAAAAGGTGAAATATAATTGTAGCAATTTTGATTCTTAAACATAAAACAGGCTTACTAATTTGTTATGATGCCCATGGTTGATTCATACCTGATTTAGGTTCCAAATATCGTTACAAGTGAAACTCCTCCCGAGAGACCAGGGGAACCAGATTGTCCAGTGAGTAAAATTTGCAATTTTTTAATTTCTTCTTAGTCCTTCTTTTGTTCTTCATATGTATTTTGGCATTTTTTAATTTGTTTTGAATCTGGTACATTGCAGTACTTTCTCAAGACTCAAAGATGCAAGTTTGGTTCCAAGTGCAAATTTAATCATCCCAAAGTTTCCTCTGAAAATGCTGATGTTTCTTCTGGCTTACCTGAGAGGCCATCAGAGCCCCCTTGCACCGTTAGTTATTTATTTATTTACATTTTATATTAACATGAGACTTTATTTATCTAAGGCTTCATGTTTTATATCTATGCAGTTCTACATGAAAACTGGAAAATGTAAATTTGGTGCTGCTTGTAAATTCCATCACCCTAAGGATGTCCAGATTCAATTGTCTGATGAATCGAGTCATACTGTTGCACAGACACAAACAAATTCCTTGATGGGAGGAGCAATAGGAGATACACAGCCAATTAAATCTCTTATATCTCCATCATTGCAGAATAGCAAAGGGCTCCCAGTAAGACTGGTATTGATTTTCTAATCTTTATTAGATCCTTTGATTTTCATTCTCTGTTGATAGGAAGGAAAGACAGATCAATTCATCCAGTATCATGTTCTTTTGCGTTTCCCTTTCCATTCCATTATTTGCTAGATGTATTCTGTTTGAAATGCTGAAACAATAATGCCCATGACACTAATTAATAACTGTAGCAGAAAATATGATATTCAACCTGTGTGAATGGATTGGTTTTTTCTGGCTGTGTAACAGGCTTTTCTAGTCTGCAATCAGCCTAACTAAAATTTTCTTTATTTTTTCTAATCTTTGATGCTGTATAAAATCATTACTTAAGATATCCATAAATTTCTAGCTGATGACAGCCATTTCCTTTGTTGATTTGTTGCCTTTATTTATTTATTTATTTATTTTTCTAAAACCTTGTTTTTACTATTAAAATGTCTTTTGACAGGGGGAAGTGGATTGTCCATTCTACATGAAAACTGGGAGGTAAGTATTGATTTATATTCTATTGACTTTTTACTATTAGAGAAATAGTCACTTATTTTTATTTTACGATAGCTCTCATCAAACTGCAAAAAAAGTGATTACTTTTTGTAATAAGCTAATCTAAACACATAAGTATTCTTTGGATTAAATATCCTTAATTTTTTCATTCATATGAATCAGTTGCAAGTATGGTGTCACTTGCCGCTACAATCATCCTGACAGGAATGGTATGTATAGATATATTTATTGTTCATACATTTTCCTGTTTTCTAAACAATCATTTCACATTATTGTACTTTGATGCAGCAATTAATCCATCCATTGCTGCATTAGGCCCTTCTATTTTGCCATCCTCGGCTGCTAATCTGAATATTGGAGTTCTTAATCCAGCTGTGTCTGTTTATCAAGCTTTTGACCCAAGGCTATCAAATCCAATGGTAATGTTGTTATTGTACTCGTTCTCATAGAGAATTGGCTGATGATGTAAATTGCAAATAATGTTATCCAATACATGCTGCTCATTATTGTGGGGTAGGCTGGTAGGGGGATGGAGCTGGGGATTCTTTTTGTTTTAGGTGTGTATGTTTCTGGTTATCAACCAAAACAAACAACAATTGAGTTTAAGGCACAGGGATATAATGAATGGAAGAATAGTTTAGATACATATAGATTTCACAAATGCAATAAAGATTGCTAGGACATAGCCTATATTCTATTATATGCAGTCAAACTAGGAACCTGGAGCTGTTGCATGACAGGTTTAAATGGATAAGTATCGGTGGTAGGAACATGGAAAAAATAATTTTGCTTTTCTTGGTTATATTTTTACATGAGAATAATATTTGTGGATATGTTGTGTACATCTTTTATTCTGAATGAATATTGAGTTGTTAAATGTGGTTGTTTTTGGATTTGTTCTATCAACTTTCATGATTGTTATGGTGTTTCTCTTGTCTAATATATTATCTTGACACTTGTAGATATTGCAATATTTTTCTCATATGTTTTCGTACACATTAGTAGTCTCATTATCTGTTTGTGCTGCATAGTTTGTTGACTGCTTAACTTTACTTTCTTAATAGTTGCATAGTTTCCTAAAATTCTTATTCTTAGTGTTTATTTTGAGATCATGATGCTCATCCAGTACATTTTATGTGTATGTCAAATGTTTCTCTTATAAAGAAAAGTAAATGTTTGGGTCCTTTGTGGTGAGGCCTCTTTGCTTTTTTACCTCAATACTGTAGGAGGACTAGTTTATTAATTAAAAGAAAAACAAATTAGAAGTGTAGTCGGCTTAGAAAAGTAGCCATTCTTAAATTAACTCTAGACTGTTTCCATGAGCTAATGCATCTTATGCATGTAAAATGTTTTCCAGTCTCAGGTGGGAATTGCAGAAACTATCTATCCTCAGCGACCTGGACAGATTGAATGTGATGTAAGCAAACATTTCCCTTATGTTCCAGTCCTATTTCCACCGCTGATATGTATTAGAAATGGTTTGCACGTGTCACATTTATTTGTTAGGTCATTTAGTATTGAACTAAAAAATGCAGGGGGCTAAGGCTCAATTGCAGATCTGTATCTTTAATTAAAAGTAAGGTAGTTTTAGGTTAGCCTTGATAGTAATACCATGAAATAAGTTATATTGAGTATAATAAAGTTTAATAATGTGATTTTTTTAGCTGGATATCAAATAAAGAAATATAGTCGAGATAATGTAGGTTTGAATGAGAATAAAGTAATGTTGGGGAATTAAATGGAGATTATTTGCCAGTGCAGTAACATTATTGAGATTCTTATATAGACAGATGGATATTAAAACTTAATGAAAAATTATTTTATTTGCTGAACTTCTCATGCCTACATAACCCCTGTATAAAATATTTAATTAATTTCCTTTTGCATTTCTATTCAATGGTTTACCATGTAGTATTATATGAAAACTGGCGAGTGTAAATTCGCGGAAAGATGCAAGTTCCATCACCCAATTGATCGCTCAGCACCATCATTGTCAAAGCAGGCTACTGCTGTTAAACTCACTCCTGCAGGATTACCAAGAAGAGAGGTATGCTAAATCTTTTTAACATGCATACGTGGAGCAAATTCTTGCATTTTTCTGCAAAATTCTCTGTATTTTCAGTAAGTGCAAGATTATTAAATGCCGATTAGTACAAGTTTGGTTGTTGTTTAGGGTTTTCAACAATAGTTTGGTTGTATTTTCAGAAAGTAGCTATTACTGATATGTTGCATGTGGTGTGGGAGGTTAGGTTGTCAAATCAATCTCAGTAGAATCTGATTATTAAGTTGCATAACTTTTCTAATAAACGATGTGTCCAAAAATATGTCCTTATGCTTTAAGTAACATCATCTTAACTAGCCTCAATTTCTAACAAAGGAGCGTGATATTGAAATCATGTATGATGTCTTGACAGGGTGCTGTTATCTGTCCATATTATTTGAAAACTGGAACATGCAAGTTTGGTGCAACCTGCAAGTTTGACCACCCACCACCTGGAGAAGTTATGGAGATGGCAAAATCACAAGGAACATCAGCCAATGGAGGGGAAGCAGAAGATGATGAAAAGGACACTTCTGCTCCGGAACAGCATTGAGATCTTTTCTTATGAAACTTCACTTTGTACTTTTTAGAGCCCTTTTTATTCTGCTTTGTATTTCGTATCATGATGTTAACACTTTTAACAGGGGCTGAAGACCTCGCTTTTTTCTTAAATTTAGTGACTAATTTTTCCTTCAACTTGTATGTGTGCTCTTTTGAAATGGTTAGTTGACATACATTTTATTTAACTCTTACCAATGATAATTAATTTGCACTGGTTTAGACATGAAAACTTCATGAATGCTTCTAAAATAAATAAATAAAGTAATAAAAATTGAATGATAACGTTTGTTATTTGTGCACATTGTGCATATAAATATTAGTGGTGTTAAAAATGTGCTGTCGGTACACAATTGGATGCTGCTTAATGCAATGTTGGTCTAAAAATTGGTTCTTATAAACGGGTAGGGTGTTGATCGACTTATTTTCAGAATTAGTATTTTTGAGCTTATTTCGATTTATTTTTGTGGGATAACTAACTTTGCTAAAATATAGTTAATAGCTCGCTAATAAATGTAGTTTTATCATTACTTTAACAATCAACGACTGACCTTGTGTACTTTATTTCTCTTCGTTTTAAAAGTCAAATTCATTATTGTTTGGGACAAATTACAATAAAAACAATATAATCGATGGATTTTTTATATATATTTTAAAGAATTAAATGTGTTTTTACCTTTCTAAGATGAATGTGTTTAAATTTTAGTCTTTATAAAAAGTTTTTTTATTTTTATTTTTATTTATTATTATTATTATTTTTCACCTCTAAATTTTGGAATCAATTTTGGTTCTTAAAAATGAACAAATTTAAGTTTTGATTCTTACAAAATATTTTTTGATTTTCATCCTTTAAAACTTAAAGTTATCATTTTTCGGTTTTTAATGTTCATTTTAAGGAAAATAAATATTTATTTTAAGGATTTACAATTTTTTTTAAATGTCTCATACTAACATGGTATCAAATATAGTTGTAAGTATCACTAGGGATGATTACTTGACCATATTATAAGCATGAAACTAGTTAACAAGGATCACATTACTAGGGACTAAAAACAATTTCAATTTTAAAAGATAAAAAATTAATAAAAAAAATTAATAGAGACTAAAATTAAAAGTAACTTTAAAAGGACTAAAAATATATTTAAGTCTATTTTAAAATTACATACGTAAATTTTAATGTTTTTCAATGAATTATTAAATAATTTTATATTAATTTGAGATTTTGTAAATATAATAGAAACTTGGGTTAAATCCAATTTTTGTCCCTACTTTTTTTCGAATGTGCAATTTTGATTTGCTGACTTTTTTTATTACAAACTTTTAGGATTCAAAAGTAAGTAATTTTAATTCATTTTTAATGTTATTCAAAAATAAACATAAAAATGTATAATATCTTACGTTTTCACAATTAAATTAATTATACATGTTTTATTAAATTAAAGAGTTAATTTTATAGGATATTTTGATTGAAATTATATTTTTATATTTATTTTAATTAAATTATTTTTGAATCATGATATAAATTATTATTATTATTACTATTATTATTATTATTATTATTATTATTTTAATTAATTGAGGGGAAGGGATATGTAACCAAAGTGAAGAGAAAATAATCATGGATGGGTTAAGGGAGGTTGAGTTAAGTTTGTCATTAAAAAGAGAGACACATTAGGTCTTTCACTTCTCATACTTTTTTTTTTATTTTACGCTCTAAAGAACTAAAGAGAGGAAAAGTTACGGGAGGTTACCCCAAAATTGTGTTTGTTGCACCTGACACCGAACAAGGTAAAAGGGGAGTGAAAATTCTTGCTCTAGGACATGGGATAATTGCTTGGTAGTGAGGTTGGTCCCAACTTCTGTGTGTTTTATGCATTGTATGAAGGGAAAAATTCTAATTGTTATCTGTTCTCATTTGTTGTCTTCCTCACGACTCTTCTACTCTTGAATTGTTATAAAGTGTTATTATTATGGTTAATTTTGTGCATTGAATGGATTTGGTATGATTTGAGTTGTCCACGAGTTCCTATAGAAACTTTAAAGAGATGCATTTGAGTATATTTGTGTGAATAGTTAATAAAAGTGTAATTACGTGTAAATCTTGCCTTTTAGATGCATAATATGACTCTTTTGAAGTATCGTATTGTTTGTGTGTATAAATTGATGGATTGGAGAAGAGAATACAAAAATTGCAAGTTATAGAGTTGTTGTTCGTGAAAATGGAACTAAGTGTCATTTTTGACACTAAGCCTCACGGTGGTAGAAAGCCATATTTGCTATCTATGACCCTTAAGCTGAGCGTGAGTTTCACGTTGAGCGTCCTTACAATTTTAATTTGTTTTTCCTTTATTTGTGTTCTTTGAATTTTAATGATGTAACGTAAATCCTTATGATACTTAACGTTAATGCCTAATGACGTATATATATTAATGGCATGGATGAGATAGATGATTCTTGTGTTCAATGTGAATGTCCTTGAATATATTGATTGAATGAGATTCTTGAATTGTGTATGACCAATAGAATATATGGTGAATTGTTATGAATGGAAAATAGTATGTATGAGAAATTGTTTGTATGAAAAATCGTTGAATATGTGAAGTGAATTATGATATGTTAGAGATTCAGTTGTGACATGCATCATATGCACGCAAATTAGCAAATTGACAAATTGTTATATATATGTATTGAACATATCTTGTGATTGGTACCACATGCATGTAAATCGAGAGTTTATATCTATTACATTTCATATTGCATATAATTGTTTATTGTTCTTGAGAGTGTTTACATAATGTGTTAAGAATGAACTATGAATTATTTGCGTTGTGACAATTTGGAATGTGTGTCCATTTGTAAAATACTTATTTTATAAATGTTATGTTGTGTGTGTGGCTATCTTTCTTTTATCTCTGGCCATGAGTTAAAGGGAGAAGTTTCTCACTTCCATTGTTTCCATGTCTCTGTTACTATGTATGTTGTCGCAGGTAATGCTCATAAGGATATTGATGATACTGGTGACGAGCCTTAGACCTTGAATTGTGCATGCTCTGATAATATATGTGACATCGGGCCTTAAGCTATGATTACTTTTTGCATTATGATTATAATACATCTCATGTTTAGATTTGAATCTCCGTAATTTGTGATTTTGTTTTGAGAGATTGTTATGTGACTCTTTTTACCTTATGTTGGATTTTATATTTGATTAATTATGCATGAATTAAATTTTATTTTTATATCAATTGTTTTCTTAAATATACGCTATAAATGTATACATGATAGAAGGTGTCACATATAGTGGTATCAGAGTCAGGTTGATTCAAATCGGACATGTGTGTTATGTGCTTAATTGCGTGCTTTGTGTGTACTTTGATATTTGATTGGTTATGTGTTGTAATATTTTTATTTGCATTGATTTCTTTGTTGGTTGCTTGTTTGGGTACTTCTTTCTTATGTAAGAAGTATTGGTTATCACGTATGTTTTGAGCGTGGATGCTAGGCAGTAGACGGTGCTTGCATGCTAATCAACTAGAAACTACTGGAAAATTGTTGTTTGTGTGATGTTGAATCCTTTAGTTGTACTCTTTGATTTTTGTGCAACTTATTCTTTATGGTTATCCATTCGTTTGTCGAAACTCAATTGCTTGTCATCTCTTAATTTACCCTTTGATTTAGCAACTCCAGCTAATAGTCTTGTTTTTATTCCTATTGCCTATTTATAACGTCCTTTACAAGTTTTTGTTGAAATTCTAGTTGATTTAATTTGTTAACCCCTTAGTCAACTAGAGGTAATTCTTGGGATGGATTGCTTATCTTCCAACCACGTTCTCTTACATTCCTTTGAAAAGTCTATTTCTTTTAGTGAGAGTAAGAGTGCAAATTTTTATCTACTAATAAAATTAAAACTTGATTGAAAAATTAAAAGGTGTACATGATCCTTGCTTATTCAAAGCTTGAGCAGAGAAGTGAGTCGTGTGATATTCCCTTAGTGAAAGAATTTCCTGATATTTTCCCTATAGAGATGTGTAGCTTACCACCTAAGAGAGAGACTAAGTTTGTTATAGAATTAGTGCCCAGTACAACACCCATTTCTATAGCACCCTATAGGATGTCACAAAAGGAACTAACTAAGCTTAAGAAACAAATAGAAGAACTTTAGGAGAAACAATTTATTAGGCCTAATATGTCACCTTGGGGAGCTCTTATGTTGTTAATGAAAAATAAAGATTGGAGTATGAGGTTATGTCTAGACTATAGACAAATTTACAAGGTAACCAACCATAAAGAATAAATACCATTTACCTGGGATAGATGACCTTATGGACTAATTAGTTGGGGCTTGTGTGTTTAGTAAAATAGATCTAAGATCAGGGTACCGCTAGATTTGGGTGAAGTCTAAGGATATTCCAAAAATTACTTTTAAGATCTGATACAGGCATTATGAGTATTTGGTTATGCCTTTTGGTGTGACTAATGCACCTAGAGTTTTCACGGACTTTATGAATAGGATCTTTCCCATACCTTGATAGGTTTGTAATAGTCTTCATAAATGATATCCGTGTATACTCTAGGACTAAGGAAGAACATGCCGAGCATCTTAAGATAGTGTTGCAAACCCTTAAGGATAATCAGTTATATGCTAAATTATCCAAGTGTGAGTTCTTACTAGACAATGTGAGATTTTTGGGTCATGTAGTATTTAAGGGAATGATAGTCGTAGATTCTTTTAAGGTAAAAGTTGCGTTAAAATAGAAGGCACCTAAGTTAGTTCTTAAGATTAGGAGTTTTCTAACACTAGTTGGTTACTATAGGAGGTTCATAAAGAATTTCTCTAGGTTAGATTTTTCTTAACTAAGTTAACTAGGAAGAACCAACCTTTTGTGTGAGATTCTAAATGTGAGGGGAGTTTTTAGGAGCTTAAGAGGAGATTAACTAGTGCATTTGTTTTAGTTTTACTTGACCCTAGTGAAACTTTTGTAGTATACTATGATATTTCTAAGTTGGGTTTAGGGGGTGTGCTTATGTAGAAGGGGAAGGTAGTGACTTATGCATCTAGGTAATTGAGGATCCATGAACATAACTACCCTTCCCATGATCTAAAGGTAACTGCCATAGTTTTTGTGTTAAAGTTGTGAAGGTATTACCTGTTTGGATCTAGGATTGAGATGTTTAGTGACCATAAAAG